GATGAGGATGGTGCTGATGATGTTGATGATGACGATGATGATGATGATGATGAGGATGATGATGATGATGGTGATGGTGATGATGACAATCTGGATGACGAGGGTGGTGATGATGATGATGGTGATGATGATGATGATGATGATGATACGGGTGACGAGGGTGATGATGATGACGATGATGATGATGATGGTGATGGTGATGGTGATGATGATGACGATGATGACGACGATGATGACGACGATGATAATAGTGACGATGATGATGATGACGGTGATGACGATGATGATGATGGTGGTGATGATGATGATGATGATGACGATGATGATGATGATGATGATGATGGCGATGATGACAATGATGATGATGATGAGGAGGAGGAGGAGGAGGATGGCAGTGTGAGGTAAAGCCTATACTACCAACTAGCATCCTCAGCAACACCCCGATATGCTTAAGAAAGCTGCGTACAAACATTCAAATCGCACTTCCGTGACTTCTTGAACCTAGCAACACCCGGCTCTAACCCTACCGCCCTTTTGCTGGGACTAGGGTTTAGGGCTTAGCGTTTGGGGTTTAGGGTTAGGACAGTTTTACGTGACCTTTGCCTCTAGAGAGTGCGATTGCATTGTCAAAAACCCGCCTCGGGCTCTTCGAACGAGACCAAGGCTTTCAGCTCCTGGACCATGGGGTTTCGGGGATTCGGGGTGATCAGATACGAATCCAGCTTACGAGCTGCACTTACGAACAGGGACCAGCAAGTGACTTCGAAGGTCCATCCTCAGTAGCATCCAAAAGGGCTAGCTCATCCAGCCCATCACTCGCTGGATCCATGGCCGGGCCCCAGGACAAGGCGTGGATTTTGTCCATGAGCTGGGCTACGTTACATCTTGAGACCACGAAGCTTTTGGTTGTAGCAGTTTCCTTGTCTGTGGAAACTGAGCTTCATGTGCCACATCCTTTCTGCGATTCTTCGCTGGGCTCTCACAGCTATCCACAACCTGTCTGCCCCAAACTGCGGCCACGGGATCTTTCGGAGCACCAAGAGCCTCATGCAGCCTCATGCATCAACAGAGGTCACCAAGCACTATCTTCGAGGCCGCCGCTTGCGCCCCAAAGCCCTTGCAACGCTTTTGCCCACCGAGGTCTTGCCCACTCCCGGCGGGCCGACAAGACCTCGCTCGGAGCAGCACGAGATTCTTACGAGCTGCGGGGGCCTGTTTTGAACAACAAGTACTGGTACTCATGTCGGCTTCTCGTTTCTCCTCCGCCTCCTGCTCCTCCTCGCTCGAACCCTCCATACATCCCAGGCCCTTGCCGTTGGCTGTAGGATGGATATGCTCGTTGCGAAGCACGGTACTGCCGACTCACTGCTCTTTACGCATTGACATTTTGACAGACATGCATCAGTCCCAGAAGTGGTCATGTTCACTTGGCTGCGGGCACATGATCTTGCCTTGGGTCGAGTCCTGTCGGTATGTCTGAAATCACACGGAAAGCTGTGCAGGCAAGCCAGACTTGGTTTCAGATGAGCACCACGACTAATTCAATCAGATTGAGCTTTCTAGGACACCGTTGTCGATTGTGGAACTGCAGGATACTGCAGGCAAACGTGTTCAATATCCAGCAACCGCTTCGAGTGGTTCACGCAAGAAGGTCTCTGATCATGCTCCTTTCAACTCCTGTCCAAAATCCTAACCTTAAGCCCTAAACTTTAACCTCAAACCCTACGCCTTAAGCCCTAAGCCCTAAACTCTAAGAGCCTTTGCCGCGTGAGATTTAGGCCCTTGGCCCCCAGAGCAGGGGTCCTTCAGGAAGCTCACGGCGATGTGCTCCAGAATCCGCTCCTTCACATCCTCCAAGCCATAGTGGTCCTGCCCGTCAGACTCAGAGAAGCCTTGCAACCGCCCCGGAAGGTCACCAGGTCACCAGACCCGGAAGCCTGAAAAATGCAGATGTCCGCCCAAGTCAAAGTGTCTGCAGGCTGCCTCATCCAGGACTGTTTCGGCGTGTTTGATGTCGCGGTTTTCGGTTGTGAACACACCTCGGCTCAGGCGCGGTTGAGCGAACTCTGTACGAGATGATGGTCAGGCCCCACGACCGTCCCAATCGCTGAGGCTTTGTCCCCACGGAAGGCAAGTGAGCCACTCCAAGTAGGTGCGGCCTGCAGTCCGAATGCAGAATGGGAGGCAAATCCAAACCTGCCGTGGCAGCACCTAGCTTCAGCACATCAATCTGAAGGCCTAGTGATGTTCAGTTCCTTGTCCAACGACTACTTGGGGGCTCACCCATCCCCAGCAGTGACCGTTCGTCGTGCTAGATCTGTACCTTCCCTTCTCAGTGCGAGGAGACGCTCATGCACACCTTCAAAGCATGTATTCCATCACGCGAGGGTTTGCTACGGGGGGATGCTGCTCCTTGTTTTTAAGTGCGAGTGGTGTCACACCTGGCTAAGTTCGTTCCTGCTAAGACGCCGCGGCCGATGCGTGCCGGTGTGTGTCTCTGTGTGTGGTGGTTGCCAGATCATGTTTTTTGCAAAATACTTCTGGTTGACACAGACATGAACTGTTTGGGTATTGGCATAAATGACAGCAATGAACACCTAGGGCGCATGCAGACATTGAATTCCGAAGACGAAGGCTCCAGAGAATTCAGCTTCGCCAGCTCTGCGTCGATGACCTACAACTGCAGTTTGGATCTCTTCCTCCCTGCCCTCTCTGCATGCCCTTGCCTTCTGCACGTCTTCTGGCACCTCCTCGCGTGGTCAAAGCAGAAGCTGCTTACGATCCGAAAACCCGATCCGCCCTCTGTCCTTGGATTGGATGGCATCCCGAAACTGGTTGGTCAGCGTCTGCTTCTCATCCTGCTTTGGGAAGGCTCGGGGAGAAGGCCAAATCGGGAAACCGTTGCTTGCAGTCCTTCTCAATGCCCAGCTCCTTCTGGATCTGACGCATCTGCTCCTCGTGAAGAGAAGCGTGATACTTGGCCCCGATTCCGCAAGCTCCCTCAAGCCCCTCGAAACCGGAGCACTTCAAGACTCCGAAGATGCGACGACTCCGTTCTGAGGCGTCCGGCCCAGAGGATCTTTGTCTTCTGCTCCTTGGCCACCTTCTCCTCCACTTTGCCTCCGATGGCCCGGGTTTCAGTTTCAGGGTCCCTGACCTTCTTCCTGCGGCCCCGAAAACAGCTCGCAGCCCAGCAAACAAGGCAGCGGGCCTGACTTCCAGATCATAAAAAACCAGCACTGAAACCCTCTGTAAATACCCCCAAAGCTCTGCAACCCCCGGATCCCCTCGAAACCCGAAGACCTGCTTTCCGCACACGGCTTTCTGGGGCAATGGCTCTTGACCTCCGATTGGAGCTTCGCAGTGCTGAGGTCGGCTTCTAAGATGCTGCACACCTTTGCCGCTTCGGAGCTCAGGCTCTCACGGTTTAGGGCTTCGGTTTTATGGGTTTGGGGTTTAGGGTTTCACAGAGTCCGCTGCCCTGACCTGGTGTGGGTGGGGGTTTAGCGGCAGTGGTTGAGGTGGGTCGTGGTGCCAGAGCCTGGCTGGCTAGAGGTCACCGGTGGTGGCAGGGGTGGGAAAATATCCTTGTGAGGTTAACCAACTGCAGCAAGGCTTTCCAAAAGGAGGTGTGGTGGTCGTGGTGATTGGGGAGGCACCAATAATGGCTCTGCTAGTGGATTCTAAGTTCGGGATGAAGTCAAGCCTTCTCGATCTTGGCCTTTGCATCTTGCTCCTCGAGGACATCCTGCCATCGGGATGGGTGGACAGGGCCAAGGTTCAGAGCGGAAGACTTGCATTGCCAAACCTGGGCATAAGCTACTTCTGTCACCCTCGGAAAGCCTGCAGGGCTTTCCGGTCTCCCGAAGAGATCCCAGCCTGAATGGGCGCAGCCTACTAACTGCAGAACGTGCTCCCCAGATGTGCACAATACACCGAATCTCTGCACACTGGGATGCAGACAGCGAGGTCAGCAGCTTGCACCTGGCCGGACGACAAGTTGCCACAGGCCTGCAAGGTGGCATCAGTGTGCCAGGGGGACCGGATCTTCCATGTCGAAGTGCTGCACCACCTCACGGCTCACGGCAGAGATTGCCGTCGCCATCATGCTGCAAAACGAGTTCCGAAAGGTTCACTCGGCACTCACGGCAGCTCAACGGAATCTCACGGCGTCCCCGTGCTGCCTGGTCGTGCTGCTCTCGATGCAAGGGCGAAGCTGTCAAGAGCTTCTTCATCTGTGCGATCTGCCATGCGCTCTCACACTTCACAAAAGGGTGGAGAAACCGCATCGAGGGTTGCTTTCAAGACCGTTGCCGAGGTCTGCGGCTCGAGTAGATCTGCATGGAGGGCTGAACGCGTAAATCGCCAAAACGACAATCTGGAGGCAAGCTGCTTTGAGAAAAGCTGTCGCGACCTCCCCTAACCCCTAAACCCCTAAACCCTGAACCCTAATCCCCAAACCCCAATTGCTGAAGATGCTTTTCTGGGGCTTTCCATGCAGCAGACTTTGTTTTTGCTCTGCTCCGATCCTTCGGCGCTGCTCAAGGCCGTGGTGCTCAGAGCGCCACTGCAAAAGCCAGAACACCCAGGGCCAAAGAGATCACCTCAGAGAATGGCATGTGTATATATATATATATTCTTTTTTTATGTAGTATATTAAATATTAAAGTATATTACAGTATGGGCCGGAACAAGGTCTAGGCACGACTGCTTCTGCAGTTCGGTCTGCCTTCATGGACACAGACAAGGAAGGCTCCGTGAGTTGCTTGGGGGACACGTAATGCTGACTGCAGCAGAGGGTCTGCCCGGCCACTGGAGCTCCTCTCCTGTGGGTTTAGGGTTTAGGGTTTAGGGGTGATATGGGAAGATGCTGAATGCTGAAGGCTTCAGCAGAGCAAGAATTGCATGCCATAAATGAAGTGCCGGTGCTTCCATGCAGTTCTCTCCCAGCCTCTTCCTTCTTTGCCTCTTCGGTGGTGGTCTGCCAGCAAGGAGATTTGATGAGACTCACGTGTCAACTCATCCTTCAAGCTGTCATCATGGGGAATTACCGAGCTTTGCGTGGCTGATGGTGTATGGCTACGTCCGCCCAGAGCAGGCAATCTTCTGCAATGTATGTTTTTCCCCAACCCGCTCTAGGCACGGGTGGGCCTTGACATCGCTCACGACCACTTCCTGTAAACTGCTTGAGGAGTGAGATCTAGCCGACACTCAGAGCATCAGAAGTTGAAAGAAGGTCGGGGGAAGGCAGTGTAAGCTGGACCCAATCGAATCAAATCCAAGGTTTTTGTGAGTGTCAACATCACCTTCGAAGCCTCCGATTCTCTCTGCGTACCCTAAAACTGTCATCAGCTTCACAAGAGCTGGAATCCTTGGTGTGGACGTCGACGGACACCTCCTTACCACGCCGGCTGAGTGGCTTGGTCAGTCATGGACAAGCGGAAAGCAAGCACTCACATCTTGGGTAACTAGAAGCTTGCATCCCTGAAAAAACGTTCTGATGTGCTGCCACTGAGTCTGGCTTGTTTGGCTCCGTAGCCGTCGAACCCTGCACACGCATGAGTTTCTTAAGAGCTCCGACCCCACAACCACTTGCTGCTGCGTAAATTCACATAGCGGTCGAGAGCCCAGAGTTACCCGAGTTGAGTGGGAGGACGAATCAATGCAAGCCTTGGTCTCATTCACCACCACGGTGACCTGAAACCGGAAATCGCATGCTACTTGCGGGAACGCTCGGAAGCCCACCGGTCTAAAGGTTCCTCTCCACTGCGCTAGCACCAGTATCGTAATCACGGGAGTATGTATACCACCAGCTGCAACCTTTGAGAAAGTCGGGGTTATGGGATGATATTGGATGTAAAGGCTCGGCAGTGGAGATCATACCACGATAGCAGTGGGTGTAAACACTGAATACCTGGAACGGTGGGGCCAACAAACCCTGATCAGACTGATCATGGTTCAGCAGTCACTCATAATCATGACCGAAGTCGCAGCAGCAGCAGTAAGCGCTGCTAGCACAAGCACCGCTAGCAACGAAGCACAACAAAAGCAGCAAGGGGCCGGAGCAGAAGCATGCCGATGACCCTCTTTCCGCCCATGTAGATCATGGGTGGGCAAATCAGAATCACAACTACCGAACGTCTGCGACGTCACGGATACTCTTCTTCAGACGCAGCTCTCACTGGCTGCCACAGAAACTTCATCATCATCACCATCTTCATAGACCACAAGCACAACAATATGTGCCTGATTCGGAAACATGACCATCATCACCACCACCAGGATCTCTCGCCTCATGATCGAGTCATAGGTTGAGCAACAGCAGCAGCAGCAGCAGCAGCAGCCTCCGCCACCGGCTCATCAGCCTCGTCCTCATAGCCATCGTAATCATTGGAATCATTATCATACTCGTCATCATGCCAAACATCGAGCATCCAGTAGCAAGAACAACATTACCACCATGATCGTGAAACGCTTCAGGAAAGCGACATCAACCTTCTCGTCGTCTTCAAGAGCGCCCTTGTTGTGCACGGTTACTTCCTTGGACGGGGACCATTCGGGCACAGGATCGACTTATGCAGCAAACCAAGCAACTCCTTCCTACCAAGCAGGAGCAAACCGACTGCGGGGCCTTCCATCTCAAGTCTTAAACAACCCTGGACTCATTGACCTGTTATGTGTTCATGTCATTTCACCCACTCAGACACGGTGGTGACTTGGACTAATCCGTGTGCAGAGCCAAGCACCCTGTCCCTAAAAGCATTAAAATCAGAAAAAAGCCTCAAAACCCCGATAAGAGTAGTCCCTACAGCCAAGGGTCAGGTCCCGTAGCTTTCTCTTCCTTCTTCACCTCCTCGGGCACGATCTTGGTCTGCCAGACGGGCACAGTGGCACACTGCGAGGCCACCGCTCTCAGAGTGGACTCTACCATGATTTTATATACTTATTCGAGGGTTCTCCCCCGGTTCTCCCAAATTTTTTATTGTGGCCTAAAGCAAGTTGCACTCACGCACTGCCAGCAGTGAACTGAAGCTCACAAGCACTTCAGCGGGCAGCATAAAATTCAGGTCGAGTGGTAACCGCATGTTCCCTCTTGAAGAATGCCTCCGGACGATCTCTCTGCGATTCTGAAACGGCTGCTGCTCTCAACCGCCTGCAGGCTACCTGCCGTTGGTGTAGACCTCTGAACCGTGTACTCTTGATTGTTGTGCTACACCGCAAGCTGCCACAACCGACACAACCCGCTGCAGGGTAACATACCATGCCAAAGAGCCCCCTTCTTTACGACACAGCTCAGTAGAGCCGGCCTTGCCCTGGTCATAAGGGTCGTGGATGCCCTTGGTCTTCGGATTCAGTCTGCGGGGTAAGGGGTGCCATTGGCAGCTGCTGATTCGTTACTTCGTCTGTTTTCTGAGGCCCTTCCTCAAACTCTTGGTCTCTGGTGTTTCAGGATGCAGAGGGGGGTTCGCATTTCATCCAGGCGGCCCAGCCTTATAGAGACATTGGACTTGGCTACTTCACTGTTTGCTTCCGATCCGAAGCAGTAGGATTAGGAGTAGGAGTCAGAGTAGTAGCTGTACCAGTGTGGCAGTGTAGCAGTGGCAGTAGCAGCAACAGTAGGAGTAACAGTAGTAAAAGTAGTAAGAGTAGTAACAGTAGCAACAGTAGTAACAGTAGTAGCAGTAGTAGCAGTAGTAGCAGAAGTAGCAGTAGAAGCAGTAGTGGCACTACAAGCAGCAGCAGCAGCAGCAGGAGTAATAGTAGCAGTAGTAGTAGTAGTAGTAGCAGCAGCAGCAGCAGCAGTAGTAGCAGTAGCGGTAGTAGTAGCGGTGGTAGTAGCAGCAGCAGCAGCAGCAGTAGCAGCAACAGCAGTAGTAGCAGTAGCAGCAGCTGCAGAAGTAGCCGTCGTATCAGCAGCAGGATTAGCAGTAGCCGTAGTTGTACTACTGGTGCAAACTGTGCCAACGGTGGCGATGGTGCCACACCGACCGCACCATAATTGCATCCCGGACCATATGCAAAGCAGGCACGGACTTGGAAGAAGGCTTGTCATTGTCCTCGCTGGCTTGCCGTACTCTGAGTGACAAGAATATACAATATCAATGATGACAGGAGCAAAATAATACATACTAGTAGCAGTAGCATGTAAGATGAAACCATCTGTCACAGAAAAAGGACAACATTGGCTCCTTGTCGTCCACCACGACCGTGACCTGGGCAAGGTCACCGAAGCGAATGCTTCCAAGGCTGCAGAACAACTGAAACATTCAACCATGATCGTTCCCCAAGAAGCCTACACCCCCTACCTCCACATCAACACCTTCAGAAGAGCGGCATCGACCTTTTCATCCTCCTTGCCGTCCTGCTTCTTGGACTTCTTGGCATCCTGCGCCTCTTCTTTCTCCATCTCCTTCTCAACCTCCTTCTCGAGTTCCTTGTCGTTCTTGTCATCATCCTTCTTGTCATCTTCCTTCTTGTCTTCGACCTTCTTGACGACGGCTTTCTTGTCTTCTTCTTGCTTGTCCGCTTCCTTCTTGTCTTCCTCCTTCTTCTCCACTTCCTTCTTGTCGTCGTCCTTCTTGTCGTCGCCTTTCTTGTCTTCTTCCTCCTTGTCTGCTTCTTTCTTGTCTCGGTCCTTCTTGTCCACTTCCTTCTGGTCGTCGGTGTTCTTGTCTTCTTCCTTCTTGTCCTCACCTTTCTTGCCTTCCTCCTTCTTGCTCATGTCCTTCGTTTCTTTCTTGTCTTCCTCCTTCTGGTCGTCTTTCTTCTCAGATTCCTCAGTCTGCACATTGCAGCCACTGTATCGCACAAATTGCCCAACCCGCACATGACATTCATCCTTTTTGCACTCGTGCGGCCTCCTTCTTGGCCACCTTGGTGTCTTCCTTGCTGTCTGTGGCCTTCTTGTCATCCTGCAGCACGCGAGCACATGTTCAAAAGCATCACGACGACTATTGCTATTGTTGTCGTTGACAGAACTATGCTATGCAGCCTCTTCGCAATTAATGTGCCATTGCTACTGTCACCTGTCATGGCTAGAATCATACAGCACGAACAGGCCCAAACAACCAGGATGGTCGCCGGGTTTGCTTATGAGGGAACAGAAATTCTTGTCATTTCTCGCATGCCAGTCATTGCAGCCCGTTCCTCTGCCCCGACTACTATGGTATATAAGGCGTCAAGCAGCGGCCTTCTCGGGCTCGGAGAGGACCTCCAACTGGAGAGTGTCCAAGTCCGATGCGGAAGCCTAAACAAGCCGGGTGTGTGAAGTCCATTTTGGGGGGGTCCTTATTATAATTGTAGTATCATGGGCCCCAAAACCCTATTCTAATCATTAAGGCCACTATAGTATTTGAGGAGTTTAGCCGATGCTCCCGGCCTTCTCCAGCAAAGCTGGGGAGTGCGGTTTCTGCATCAATCGCGCCTGCACGGCTGCCAGGAGCAGCCTCGGACACCGCCCGGCGCCCGAAATGAACGCCAACTATGCAGTCTTGAGGGTTCAGGGTTCAGGGTTCAGGATTCAGGGTTTAGGGTTCAGGATTCAGGGTTTAGGGTTCAGGATTCAGGGTTTAGGGTTTAGGGTTTAGAGTTTAGGGGGCCAACGCACTTTACATGCAACTTCCAACTTCCAACCGGGCAATAGCATCAACGAGCACTGGGGAGGGAAGCTCAGTCTGCCCGAAGTCGTGGACCAAACCTGAACTCCTCAAATCGAACCCTGGAAAAGCTGAAGAGGCGGGCAGGTTGATACAAAAACTACGGAGCCCGCATTCTGCGAAAACCTGCAACAACACTCTGCGCTATCTGCCATGGCACACCACGGCCAGAGTTCGTCCGCAAACACCTGCCTGTGCAAAACATTCAGAATTTGCAAATTCGACCCTAAACTTCCCTAAACCCGCTTCGCTGGCCGCTTCCGACAGGTGTGGCGACCGCAGAAGCACATCAATTCATAATCGCGATGTAGAAGGAGTTCGAAAACACGAAGAGGAGGTGCAAACTCAACACAGGAAACGAGATCCTGCGCGCTACCTTTCCATGCAAACCTGCGACTCTCATTTGGGCGATACTCGCTTCAATACCCTTTATGGTCATGAGTCATGATCTGTGCGGTCAAGCGTCCATGGCTTCAGTGTCAACTGGATGGCTTCGTTGAGGTGGTTGGAGCTCGCCGGTTCGAGCACTAGTTCAGCAGGCACGAATCCATACATGTCTCATGTCGGGGGATCATCCGTGTAGCCTGTCAACCCTGCACCAGCACACTCTGATTTTAGGGACGTCACGCTCATGCTCTCCATCCCCTCATGAAACAGCTTTCAGCAAAACGGTGCCAAGGTCACCAGCTCCATAAGAGCCTGCTGCTGCGCCTGCTTGTCTTCGAACTCCTTTTCACAAGCGGGGAAACTCTTCGGAGCCTGAGCCCCGAGCCCTGAACGACCTAGCCATCACAACGCGACCCCTTCAATCCAGGTCTCTTAAATTCCTCCTTGTAATTAGAGCTGCTCTCAACATGTGGGCCTAAATCGAACTATCATGCTGTGGACGGCCAACTTCAGCTTTGTTGGCAAGCGGAGTGACGGACGCCTTCAGCTCTTGTTTCTGAAAGCCCCGCCCCCCAACCCCCCAACCCCCCCCCCTTCACCACCCACCCCCACCACCTTGCAACCGCCACTTTAGACTTTGGGGGGAGCTGTGAACGCACCCAATTTCCAAGCCCACGAGGCAGTCCGAGGAGCTGCCCCCGGTGTGCGTGCCTGTTTCCACTCTATCTCCGCAGAATCTCGGCTCTATCTCTACACAATCTGCGGCCGAAGTCTTGCCTCACTTTCCTGGAAGCTTCGGCAGGCACAATGCTTTTGGCCAGGATTCGCTGGTGGGACCTCTGCCGTGATAGTACGGGATAGTGTCGAAGTAGTATCTAAATCCTGCAGAATAGCCCGACAAGGTGTGGAAATAGTGTCTATCCCAGCACGGACCATGGGGGCAGGGCAAGGAGGCAGCCCCACAAACCCTTAGATTAAACACCCCAGAAACCCCTAGACAGGCGCCACGTCTCCTGCACCGCAGGAATGGCTTCCAGGTGAACTGCCGGCAAGGCCACATGAGGGCTCGGCCTCGGCCGGCCCAGCACATGTCGGCTTCAGGTTACTTTGAGGGAGACCATAGCAGGTGTCACGGGTACGATAAGGGACACCACAAGGGCTACTACAAGGGGTACTACAACAGGTGCTACAAGGACTACTGGTATGATAACAGGGGTTTAGGGCTTCGGGTTTGGGGTCTGGCAGGCAAGAAGACCATGCCTCAACCCTAAACGCTAGAATCTCAAGTAACGAAGGAGGCAGGGAGGCGGTGGAGCTGGCAGCAGGAATGCTGCAACATCCCAAGGTCTGCACGCCTAGGACCTGAGTGCATCCATACATCCGGAGAAACGGCTGAGAAAGCAGAAAGATTGAAAGATGGATGGACGGACCAACAGACGGAGAGAGACAGAAAGCCGGACAGTCAGACAGGCGGATAGAAGACCGACAGAAGGACCCAGAGAAAGATAGATAGCCAGATATACAGAAGGACAGCAGAGAGAGAGCGAGAGAGAGAGAGGCAAAGGATTGACAGATGAAAGGGAAATCCTTGAAGACGGTCCCGCACTCCTAACTTCGAAACAGCTTCCTTTTTCTGATTCGCGTCACCGGCTGCCCCTCCGCATGGCTGTCAGTCGCAGTGTCCCTGTATTGGAGATGATCTCCACTACCTTGGCAGAAAAGCGACAGGCCGAGAGTGCAAAACAGGGCATTGCATGGCGACGGGGATCGTACGCCAACTCGACAGCTGATTACTGTAGCCTGAAGGAGGACGGGGCATCATGCCCGACCCTGCGGCAGACTTCTGTAGTGGCCAACCTTCAGACTCCCACATGCCCGAGATGCTCGTACTTCGACTTCTTGGCCCTTCACGGCCTTTTGGACAACAAAGATCAAGCAACACTCGTCCCGAAGCAAGCACGCAAACCTCTCTGCATTAGGGCTCTAGACTCTAGGCCCACTCCAGTGGTCCCGGCCTTCTCCGGATGCGGAAACTGCGACTTGTGCAGGATGCCCTGGACCAGGCCTGATAAGACCCCGGAAAGGGACAACTCAGCGACACTAGACCTTGCGGGACAAGCCGCCCAAGGCTTCTGGCCGCGCATTGCCGGCTTGTGTCCCAAAGTTTGTTAAAAAACTGCACCCTAAACCCTAAACCTTAAACCCTAAACTAAAAAATGCCCCGGAAGTGCCCCGAGGTGCCTGCTTCCAAGGACACACATCTCCGGCCTCCTCCTTCGGGGACCGCGACATCAACGAAGATCGACCAGTTGGAAATGAAACGAACGGTGGCTGTAAACCACTCGGAGGGCCTGAAGGCAGGGCCAGGATCCATGATCATGACAACCCTCTTGGCACCAATTCGTGCCACACAGTTGTCGAGACTTTCCATGACCTCCCAAACTTAGGAGCTAAAACCCTGGCACCCGAAGCCTTAATATCTGAAGCGCTAAACCCTGGTGCCCCAATTCCTTGTTTGTGCATTAAGGGTTCTTTCCTATGTCTCCTTCTTTCGGTACACTCGCGAAGGACTCAAACAGCTTGGAGTTTGGGGTTTCGTGCGTGCGATGGGGTTCACGGAGTTGTGATGGGCTTCCGGTCATGTACTGCCCAACCGGGTCGAAGTCCAGGGTTTGGGCCTGGGATTTGGGTTTTTGGGGCCTTCGGGGCATTTGAGGCGGTGCTTTTCAGACTTCAGGCTGATTTTTGGAGTGATGCATCTTGGACCACTGCACATGCTGCCAAGGCAGAGCAGAGATGCCTCGCATCTTCAAAGAAAGAGACGGGATCCTCCATCGCAGGCCAGTTTCAGCACATTGACTGGGCATGATGCTCTCTGCTCGTGTCCTTCAGCTTTGAAGTCGGATATTCGATCATGGACAGGCCGACTTTGCCGTCCGGCGCAACGCGGTACACCTTAGGCTGCAAAGCGGCCTGAAGCCTGGACCATGGTTCTACTGCGGTCAACGTCTAAGACTAGGTGGTGCAAATTTGTACCAAGACTCCCAAACGACGACTTCCTGAGAAATCCAGGAAACAAAAGACATGCTGCTCAAGGACACGATGCGTAGTGAGCTTCTGTGCGTTTGCCGTCGTGAGGCTTTACGCTGCACAGAGTCTCATGCATAGTTGAATGCATCATCTAGAGCCTGTGTTTGGCACTGGCAATACGGCGGCTTATGAACGAAACCGGTCCTGCCCCACAGATACCACATCGAAAACGTCTTCCACATAACCTTGGTTTGGGAAGGTTCGGCCCTGCCGGAACAGCGAACCGAAAGCATCAACGGCATCAAAGCATTCAAGCAAGGGGCGCTCGACCATTCGGGAGATTCGGGCCAGAGCTGTCGTGCCAGGGCCTGCGAACTGTCGGCAACTGGAGTGCAAGCTTTAGGTTGGCAGACGTCGTTGTGACAAGAACCCCACCCAGGCTCGTCCAAATCGTCCAAAGAAAGACGCACGCACACGTTGTTTACCTAGGTCTTCTCTCGATGACACTAGGATTTCTCCTGAGCAACGCGTCACGGCTGGCGGAGGAAACTGCTATTCGTCTTAGACTATGTCAGAAGCCCTAAGCAAGAAGCACGAGCTCTGCGTGCTGAACACCCGTGAACCCTCCATGCCTATCTCTACGAAGGCGCCCCATTGCGAAATGCGCCGCACAATTCCGCGCAATTTCTGGCCCACGCGCAGGTCGCTCAGAGACACCTGCAGACCCGGATTGCGGCAGGGTTTGCAGACAGGCACAGACTGAGTTGGCTTCTATAAGCTCACCCAAACCGTAAACCCCAAGGATGCCCAAGGCGTGATACCTCAAGACGAACGGACACAGCACAAGGAGCAAGTTGGCTCAAGGGCGCTTCAAAACTGCAGCCTTACTAGCATTTCCTGAAAGCTCTTTTCCTGCAGAAGTCCTAGACTATCAGGAGCCTGTTGGGACCAGTAAAGGATTGGGGGTACGGGTAACTTACTTAAGCTAGTGGAAGTGTACACGTGCTCGTGCACGTTCTGCAAGTGCTTGTCGTTGAACATCTCGAAACCAGGACTTACATCTAGTTAAATGATATATGTGTATGTGTGTATATCTATACATATATATATGTATGTATGTATGTATGTATGTATGTATGTATGTATGTATGTGTATATGTATGTTTGTGTGTGTGTATATATATATAGGGTGTTAGCTATTTAAATAGCCATGTATCTATTCCCTCGCTGTGTCATCAACGTCCGTACAGGGTAGTGACCTTCTGGCATGATCTGCATGATCTCCGTGTTGCCTAGATTTGGTCCCTCCCGGGATCCTGCTTGTTGTAGCGGATCGCCGGCCTACTTTGCAGCAATCCCTTGCTTGATTGTCGTCTTTGCGATCGAGCAGCCTGTCCAGGTTCCAACACGTCAACGTCGTCAGTGTCTGAGGACTTCTCGGAAAAATGTGCCGGAGAGGTTTCCTCCTTCCCAGCTGCCTCGCATGATGCATGAACAAGATACCAGCAAGACTGGAACTACTTCCTAGAACGCCAAATATGGCTCCACCCAGCGCAGCAGAGGTATGACAACTCGCTCACAGCACTCATGTTTGCAAAGTTGCCATCCCAGTGTGCGTCCAGTAGCAGTAGCAGCAAGTCAGGGTAGTCGTACCACTACTACTAGCACCACCACCACCACCACCACCACCACGACTACTACTACTACTACTACTACTACTGCTACTGCTACTGCTACTGCTACTACCACTGCCACTGCCACTGCCACTACCGCTACCACTACCGCTACCACTACCACTACCACTACCACTACCACGACCACGACCACCACCACCACCACAACCACCACCACCACCACCACCACCACCACGACTACTACTACTACTACTACTACGGCGGCGCCCCAGCAGATAGAATATTTTTTGGGAAACGGCGGTTTGGGGAT